TTTTAATTTTTGATAATGTTAGATTAAAATGCAATAAATCTTAAAATTTTAATAAAAAATGCTCAGAGCCCCATTTTTCTAGCAAACTTCCTATATAATAAATATAACAAATAACTTTATTGAATTTTCTCATTATAATGAATCGTATTTTTTAAAAATTAAAATTTGCTATAGAAAGCTTTAACCATATTAAAGTATTTATAGAAAATACTTATATATAATTTGCAAATCAAATCAAATATTTGAAGATTAATTTATATTTGATCAAATAAAATTTCTTTGATTTGAATTTGATCGAATCGAATCAATTATTAATTTAAATTTGTATTTGATTTGATTTTTAAATCGAATATTTAAATATCAAATTGAATTGTGAAATCCTATTGATAGTAATACAATTTATGAACTTTATCAAGAGTATTATTTTACAAATGCATATAACCAATATTCATATTTCTTGTTAAATTTTTTCAAGTTCATTATAGAAGTTTTTTGGTATAATAAATTCTAACAGTTCTTTATGAAGTAATAATACTTTAAATTCAAAAGAAAAGTCAATGACAAACTAACTTCTATTTATTCTTTAATAACTTGTATATTTGAAAGGATTTTTTTTAATGATAAGATTATACCAGTTATGCTATATATCAGAATTAATGATAAAGCTGTTCAAAACTTTTTTATTTAGATATAATATTGAATTGATATAAGTATTTAGTTTTTAGAATTTCATGTGATCAAATAAAAATAATCAATATACACTTTATTCTTAACAAATAAATCATTGGATTTTATTAATTTGATAATGAATTTTTTTAAAAATTGATATGCTATTATATCATTAGCAAATTTTATTAAATAATTAACATATTTTATTAATTTGTTAATGAATATCATCATGAATTATTAATAAATTAATTCATTATAGATTTTGTTAATGAACTTCATTAATAATTGACATATTTTGTTAATTCATTATGAATTGTTAACAAAATTCATTAACAATTGATGTATATTATCAATTTATTATAAAAGCCAATTAGTAAATTCTAATTAAATAATATTGATCAATTGAGTATTAAAAATAACCAATTGTTAATTAGACTAGGTTAGTTACTATTTAAATATAGTTTTAAATTTTTTAAAATCGGGTTGAAATCTGATTTATATAATTTTGATATTTGATTAAAAGATTTACTGATTTCTTTATATTAACTATTAATCAATAAAATGATAACTAATTGATCAGTGTATTATCTGTAACTGTTACTAAAAAAGTAAATGATGTTAATACCCCTTAAGTGATAATCCTTTTTATGTTCTCTATTGCTAGTTTAGTTAGTATAGATAACGATAATTATTAAAAAATCATATCCCAACCAATTTCTTTTCTGTTAGAAATAATGGATCAGCAGGCAAGTGAAATTCACATTTCCAAAACGATTCGTTTTTTTTTTTTCACAGAATTGCGATCGCGAGGAATGAACCCGCTATCTACAGTTGACGAGTATGATCAACCTTATTAATTAATTCTTAGGAAAATCTCAAAATCCTATGAAATCTTTGATTATTTATTAAAATAATTTATAGTTAAGATTTATTTTTTCCTTCGATTTTGAAATGTTTAATCATTCTAAAATTCTTTTTAAATAAATAAACACTATTTATTTCTATATATTCTTTCAAATGACAGTAAATTTCTTCCGAAATGTCATTATAATAACTTCCCATTTTTGTTCATTATAAAACAAATTGAATCAGAGAAATTGTATATATGTAAATTACTCTAATAAAGACATACAAGAACTTCCTAAAATATTTCCATAATTTAAACTCCAATCGATTGTTAATCTTATTTTGTAATATAGTACGGAACCAACTATATGTTCATCATCCCAAGTTAATTCTGGATATTTGATTTTTAAATACTTTTTAATGTCTTCTTTATAAATAGACATAATATTATAAGCATAATGTTTTGTAGATTCAAATATGTCTGTTAAACTCTTCTCTAATCCTGCGTTAACGGTAGCTTGTCCATTATCGAGAAAACAAATAATTATTTCTGTCTTAAATTTTTTAAATGAATTTTTCATCATAAAATATTCTGCTACTTCTTTTATTAATTTTTTAAAGGTGTCTACCAATGCATTCACTTTTGAAATTACTATCTTATCAATTGTAGATGGTGTTGGTCGTGGTATTTGAAAATAATCTAATTCTACTTCTATCTCCTTAGGATTAACCGATATTGGTCCACCTTTTTTTAACCCAAATCAATTTAAAATATACATATATTATTAGCATTTTTAAAAGGAAAAGAAACAGACGTTTAAAATCTAATCACCTCGACTATCTATATTGATTTTTCCTGTTCGATAAAATTGCATAATGTAATAAAAGATTTGTCCTGAACGATCAATAAAATATTCATTTCCATTTTTTGGAATTAATAATGATCTATTTCTTTCTTGAAACATGGTCCCAAGAAATGTATCAGGATATGCCGTAAGCGTTGAACGATATGTTTCATACTAAATAAAAATAATATAATATAAATTACATTGTCAATTCCAAACTTTAAGTTCTCAATGTCAAATACCTTGACTCCGCCAACGTTTAATACAACGGTATCATCTGGTGTTGTGAACTTGGTGTTTTTGATTTCTTTATTATCAGTCTTATCGGTCATGGTTTGGGGGGGGGGGGAACAAATATCGAGAGAAATTTATTGTTACTAATTTGATTATTTATATCTTTCCTTTTTTAGATAATGCTAGCTAGCACTACAGAAGGCTGGATGTGATAATATTATTTTATCAATTTTTATATAAATAACATTTATAATATTAGTTATCTAATAATAAATAAAAAAAATAAAAAATCCTATTTTATTAAAATAATTTGTTTTTATCTTAATTAAATATGGATGTTTTGCAATAGAAAGATATGATACTCTAAAAAAATTAAATTTTTACTTTATAAGCTGAATATGATTTTTTTAGTAAAATAAATTAAAATTTAATATTAATTCAAAAAAAAAAATTTTTTAGAGTATTATACCTTTCTTTCTATTGCAAAGCTTCCATATATTGTATTTTTTATATTATTTTATAAATTAATAATAAAGATTAAAGAACTTTTTAGTAATTATTAAATAATTTATATTATTTTTATTAAAGCTAATTTCATAATTCTTAGATTATTAATGATTTATATTCACAGTTTATTATATTTAGTTATAATTTTTACTAGTTCGGAAATTATTTTAAATCATATAATTTTGAAAGTAAACATTTTTTTTGTTTATAAACCTTTTAATTTTAATTGATTTTTTTTAAAATTGGTTTTTACTTCAAACTTTAAAATTATTATTTTTAATAATCTATAAAAAAAACTTATAAATATATATAAATTTACTTATAAATCTAATTTAAATTTTTATTTATATAAAAAAGACTAATAGCTAATAGTTAAATTTAATTATAATTCTTATTATCTTAAATAAAAAAAGGAAAATTTTGATTATATTAAATAATATGAAAGAAATAAAATAGTAAAAAACTTTAATATAATTAATTATTAAATAAAAATAAATTTAGGTTAGATTTTTGAAAGAAATCAGAAAATCAAGTAAATTATTTTTAATTAAAGACCTTTTATCCTATAATATGATTAAATATTGAATAAAGAAAGGTAATAAAATATTTAATTTATATAAAAAGAATAATAAAATGTTAAATTATTAGATATTTACATTTATGAAAAGATATAATTAATTTAATAAAAATATATATAAAAATTTAAGAATTTGATTTTTGTATATGATGTGTAAATTGCATCTTATGTATAATAGTTTTAATATATATATATACGTCATAAACATTTCATATACATATATTTTTTGTAATACATATTTGAAATTTAGATTTTTTATTTTTATTTGTTCTTATATTTAATATTTAAATAATAGTATACTTCTTTTTCACTTATTTTATATTTTTTTTTCTTTTTTTTCTCATTTATATATCTTTATTACAATTAAAATAAATGATAATCAATCTCAAAATTTAATAAATGCTAAATTTGAAAATCCTATAATCAGGTATTCTAAAAGAAGACCAAGAGTTTCAAAATACAAAAATCCTTTGAAAGAATCATCTAAATCTAATGAAAATATTAGTAAAAGTAAAAAATAATGTAGTTTATGCAATAAATAATTAGATATAATTCAAATAAATCTTAACAAAAAGAAAAAAAATTATTTTGATTGTTTCCTTTAATTGCTAACTTATATTTTTCTTTTTTAGTATGAATTAAATTATACCTTTAATATTTAATCAGCAAGTATTTTTTTATCGATATATAAAATATTTAATTTTTTAAAATTTTATATATATTATATGCATTTTGCAATTTATATAGGTGTATAAAAAATAAAAAATTTACTATATAAACTAAACTAAATTATTAATTTATTAATTTATTAATTTTCTTAAAATTAAAAATTTTTAAATTATATAATATTTATAATATAAATAATTACCTATTTGATTTGATAAGTCCAAAGTTTTGTTATTTAATTAAAAAGTTAAAAATCAATAAAATTAGTTATATTCATAAATTTATTTTATTTTATTATTAATCAAACAAAGTTATTTCTGATAAAAAAAGAATGCTAAATTAAAATATCTATTTTTTATATTTTTATCGGAATTTAAAAAATAAATGAATAAAATAAATGTATAAATTGAATATTTTAAATATATAATAATAATAAATCTAATACTTGAATAATAATAATTTCAGATTTTTTAAAAAAAATTTTATAAATATAGTTTTATCTAATAATTATTTTAGATATAATAACTAGTATACATTAACTAAAAATAGTTTTAAAAACTATTGTTAAATCCAAAATGCATAATAAAAGAAACTAATTATATATTGACTTAATTTAAGCAAATAAATATCACAATATTTATAATCTAAGTAATTTAATATTAATAATCTTTTGTTATATTTTAGGCTAATTACTTAATATAATAATCAATAAATTCTTTAAAAATAATATAAAATCAAATTTCTGATGAAATTATTATTAATTTTTTAAAATTTATTATATAGAAATTTGCTAAAAAATAAGATTTTATGAATTTTTTAATAAAATTTTAATTTTTATTATATTTAATTTTTAATAATATTAGATTAAAATGCAATAAGAATGAAATTTTAGTTAAATATTCTCAAAATCATATTTTAAGAACAAAATTTCTATATGAAAACTCAATAGAAAATATGGAAAAAAAAACTACAAAAAAATTAAAATTTTACTTTATAAGTTAAATATGCATTTTTTAGTAAAATAGTTTTAGATTTAATATTAACTCAAAAAAAAATTTTTTAAAATTTTCTCTCTTTCTATTGCAAAATATCTATATAGTCAATTCTTTTGATATAATAAACTTTATGAATTTTTAATATTTAACTAATCAAATATATTAATTTATTTTGTTATAATAAACAGCAAATTAAATTCTTAAAGAATATATTATAATATTATGATGAAATTGAGATTCAGATCCTAAAATTCATTATATCAAGAGTTGATTACAGTCATACCTCTCTATAGCGAATTTTTATATAACGAATTTTTTGGACAACTATATTAAATTTACCCTCGT